GAACACCCCTCTTATCTGGTTGGGCTTTTTGGGGTGATATACTCCAAAGATTGGGAGGTACCAACACTATTCTCCGTGTTTAAGTGGTGGTGCAGGCTCTGCATAGTTCTTCGAAAATATTTTGTTCATGAATTCCACAAAATGTTCTCTTTTAGAGGTATTTTTCAACATACTGTGATGAAGGGCTGTTGCTCTCTGTTCTGCTTGTGTACGGTTATTTGGGAGACGAGGACGTGATGGCTTAAAAGGAAGAGGAGCAACTAAATTACCATCAGGGCCCTTGACAACATCTTTCTCCATTAGATCCAAGAAGATTCTATCCTCGACAGAAAGACTTTTCTTGTTGTCGTCTTGAGTAGTCTCGAAAACTGTTGATGAATGATCCCGTTCATTACAGGTAGGTGTGCAGGTCGTAAACAGGTTGTTAGGACATGGGTTAAACAGAGATGGACGACCATTTCGAATCAGGTGAGTTTTATTAAAATTCACGACGTCAGATTTGTGTATTTTTCCTATACACGTTTCTCCAACAACTACTAGGTAACTTTTGGGCGTATGGTGAGCCCTTTGGACCAGTTGGCTGGTCCAATACATGGTGGATTTCAGGTACGTCTCTCCCTATGAGTAACAAGATGGAGGCTTGATCATCCAAGGGTGGAATATGATTGGCTATATCAGAAAGGTGGGGGTGATATGTAGCAATCTCCGGTGACGGTATTTCGTCTCTTAGGTTGGGAATTTCGTTACATTCAATAACTGTGGGAAGGTTTAGTGTTTGTGTACCATCAAGCGATTGGACAACAAGGTTTTTAGCTCTCCGACTGGACATGCTCTGTTGTCCTGCGCAAGAGACCAAAGTGTATGGGACGTCTTTGGTGTCCACTGAAAATAGTTCGAAGAGATCACTTTTACCAAGAGTCATGTTACTCTGATCGTCGAGTATTGCGTATACTCGTCTTGCCTTTTCTGGTTGGTCGCATGGGAACACGTTAGCCAAAACTGTTTTTCCACAGGATTTTCCACGGAATGATTGTCCGCATATTTGTGTGCATTTAGATTTCACATGGTCTGCAGAGGTCGATTGATTGGGAGAGTTCTCCCCGCCGTTGTTTGTTACAGCCGAAGTAACAGGGTTATTGTTTGATAAGTTTAATGTAGGGCGGTAGGGTGTTTAGTGCTGCGGCATTCAGCACAAACCACATCTTCGTTGCATGCACTAGCAACATGTTTCTTAGAGAAGCAACACCGAAAACAAAATCCTTGTTCTTTTAAGAAGGCTTTTCTTTCAACAACTGCTCTGCATTCATTCAGAGAGTGGTTGCTCTTATGAATAGGACATTTTATTTCAGATGTAACATCGGTCTTTCTCACACGCACAACTGGTTTTTGTGATTGACTTTTGATTGGCTGATGTCTGTCAGGTGGATTTGTATGTGTCTCGTATACAAAACTTGGGTCGTTCTTGATTTTAGAGATTTCCCGTATAAAGTCAACAAAACATGAAAATGGAGGATTAGCAGCCTTGTATTTGGCTTTGTACCTAACAGCCTTGTTCGTCCACTTTTCCTGAAGGTTATATGGGAGTTTGGCGACAATAGGTATGGTCCCTGAAGAAGAATCAAAGTAGGACAAAAGTGTTTTATACTGTTCATCTTCTTTCGCTGTCTCTATTTCAGATAGTATGTCGGCGAGATCATACAACCTCTTGTTATCACGATTTGATAGTTTAGGAAAACTGTGAAGTCTGGCTTTATGGACGATTCAACAAGTTCTGGACTCCCATATCTATCTTGAAGTCTTTCCCATAAGCGAGCGGGTCCTTTCTTAGGATTATTTGCATGGGCAGCACGTATGCTTTGGGCATACTGAGATGACTCACTGCCCAACCATTTGACAAGCATGTCTAATTCTTCCATTGGGGTGACATGTAAGTCTTGCACGACAGAGATGAATCCGGCCTTCCATACGCGGAACAACTCAGGTTTGTCGTTAAATGTCGTTAAACGTGACAGCAGAAGTTCCTTTTTCAATAGAAATCTAGTTAGTTCAGCTGCAGTGGAAACGCTTTCATTTTGTGTCGTCACCGGATCCATTATTATTTGAGGTGTAAAGCTGGGTGCTGTAGGGTTTAGGCCAGCTTGTTCAATTTGAGGATGGTCAGCGTCTGTTTGATCTGCTGTGCGCTGGTAAGAATGATCACCATGCGACTCTACATAAGCTCGAGTGCGGTCGACTGCATTTTCTTGGGGAAGTGGCAAGTCACCAGCTCGACTATCGATCTCGTCGGTGATTGTTTGAAAAGCGTGAAATTGAGCTGCAGTCTCGGCTGCCGCTTTCTCTTGTTGAATAAGACTCAATTCGGCCTCGAGAGACGTTTGCCTTTCAGCTAGTTGAGCTCTTTGCTTCTTTAAATGAGTTTCTTTGCGAGCAAATGTTACGCCCACGGCAGCTGCCTCTGCCTCGGCTTTCTTTGTTGCCAATTTCGATTTTATAGATGAATGAGATGAACTTCGGGTCTTGGAGCTTTGATTAGTTTGAGCAACGCTATGTACATCCGACTTCTGATTTTGTATATAAGCTATACGTTGTTTTATGCTTGTAAGCGTGTTTTCAGTTAAAAGTTGGTGTGCTCTTAAAATAGTCACTTGCGATTCTGTATCCCTTATACTGTCTGGTGTATTCGTCCTGTGAAGAAATTCAATAAAATTGTCTGATAATATATTATAATCTTTAAATGTTTCTGTTGTTTCAATTTCAAATTTTTGTAAAGATACCAGATCGTTACACGACGACGAATCGCTTATGTTCTTTTCAACTTCAAGCTATTTTCTATTTACTTTTCCCTGATGTCCTCTGTATGTGTTTTCGTAAATTTCTTTTCCTTTTTCAGAGAGAGAACGAATTCGCGTTTGTGATGTACTTGGTTGTGGGTCAGTATCCATTTTGACCAAAAATGTGGGCGTATATTCAAATGATTATTTGTTGTATATTTTGTAAATTTAACACTCAAATGAAACAGTTAATAGAGATTGCAGTTCGATGATACGTATAAGAAATATTGAAATGTAAACATACAATACTTGGGCTTTGTATCACAAATTTTACAAGAATGTTGTAAAGTCCTTAATTATAGACTGAAGTTATCCGTTGAATGTAGGTCAGGTACCACTAACGAGTCTGTTTACTGTGTAGGCGATGACCGGAGTCTGTGTCGGCGAGACGTTGTCCTGTGCCCGTAGTACAACAATTTCGTCAGGTGTGCTGACAGTCTGTAGGATCTAATACAGCCGGCAGATCGTCGTCTTTTTACTATTCTGACCTCACCAAAGGGTATGGCTTAACAGATAGATAACAAGACGGCCAATTCTTAAATTCAGAACTTTATTCAAAGTCGACGATCATTATTGTAAAAAGCTGTAAAATACAAAGTAACACAAACGTTACACTAAGGAAAATCAAATAAAAGATATCCCTCTTTAGGATTTAAATGTTAGTTTCAAAGTTCGATTAAATGACAAATCAAGTCGGCACACAATTTAGATCAAAGAAAACTGCGAGGTCAAAGGTCAATCTTGCCGATCGACGAAAAAGGAAACTCAAAGTTCGCAAAAACTATTATTCCGATCGTAGCTAAACTCTCGTGGAGGTAAAAGTAAGCACTTCTAAGTTCGGTTGATACAGATTACTAACAGATTACTCGCACGGTGGTTGCCGAAGGACTGTTTATGTTCGATAAATTCAATGAGTTGAGAAAACTTGATGTTTTGCAATGTGTTTCCGGTTGTACTGGGTTCGTTGTACCTCCCGAATCAAAAGAGTTCCCTACTCGATTAACTTGATCGCGTATTAAAGGAATACGGCACAGCTCTGCTCGTTAGAGATCATATTCCACATATTCCAGTCATATTCTCACCAATGGTACAAAACATGTTTATTTGTTCTTTTGTGATTTTATCCGAGTTGCCATAACAATATATCAATATATGTAATTATTAGCATTAATAGACAAACATTATAGTCGTGAATACTTTCCAAACACCCGTTAAACGAGCTAAAGATAGTATGATTATACGGCCAATTTCTCCGCGATTATATACCTTGGATATAAAATCACGAAACGGTGACAATAGGGAAAACCGGAAAAATCCCAAATTGGAGAGAATCTTTAAACCTTTAGTCCACAATTCACAATATCAAACGGTAATTGCTAGGAACTAATAAATGAAAACATAATCAGTGGCTCAACTAGATGAGTAGGGCCAGTGGATTTAAGTCGGAATGGGCCCCTCCCTCGAAATTCTTTTTTTTAGAATATGCCCTCCTACATTTTTTCTGAGGGTGGGGGCCCTGAAGAAGTCGGGGCCCATGAACTTGGTTTGAAGTTGTAGTTGTAGTTAAGCCAACACTGTACATAATGTGTATGTATCACAGATCTTGATGTTTCCAAAGATAGCTTGACAGGCAAGGTAACATAAGCTCACCACCAGCTGTCAGAAATGATAAAAAAAGTCAAAAGTCAAGGCAAACCTTAAAAACAGTTCACCAAGATCTCATCGGCGCACACGCAGTGACAAATTTGACGCGTTTTCCACTGTCAGTTATGCAGTTAAGAGGGCTGGCATGGAAAAGCGTCTTGTCTTTCGGATGGGACAATAAACCGAGGCCCCGTGTGCTATAGGCTGTGTAAGTTAAAGATCCATCGACGGTTAGAAATCGAAAAAAAGCAAGATAATGCCACTGTTCTGGTAAGATTTCCCTCATTGCATCATGCATAGCGTCGACCGTCTACATTAGCCCACGTATTGCAGACAAGTAGGGCGTAAAACTCCATTCATTTCATCAGTATATGCATACCCAGTTTCATCAAGATTGGATAAAAACTGTAGTCTCTATCTTGTCTACAATCCAAATTTGACACGTTTTTAGTAAGTCAAGGACAATAACTCTGAATAAGTCATAATGTATATACATGAAGGTAGCCTATATCATTCTACCCTTACCTGTGATTTGAGAAATAAATCCGGTCTTTTGTGTTCTAATCCAAATTTCTTTAATCTAAATTCATCTCTTATACTGATTCCAACCATTCTCGAACTATAGCTGAAGTCTGATGATGATTTGTCTTGTAAAATGCTCTAATCTATTATAGATTTATTAACAAAGATCCAATGAAAAGGCAATACGCTCATGGCCATTTCACGAACTTAATACATTTTAAATTTTCTACTCGAGAGCAATTATGTAATATTTCTTTCTTCTTTATGTATCTACATCTCAGTACAAAAATCGTCGTGAAAGCCTTAATAACATTTTTCTTATCGACGATAACTCATTTTCATTTATAGGTCTATCAATTCTAAATCAAGTTATCAAGACAAACATTTGTACTTGGTCGCCGAATTTGCATCCAAAAACGAAACAGGACCTAATATTGACATCTCATTGGTATAACTGTGAGCCAGTAAGCCATACTATAAGATGCATCAGATTGTGACGGCTAAAATACAGTGTTCGTCTCAATGTGGGTAACATAACACGATTTGTATTGTCTGTAAATATCTGAGATGCCCGAATTTCTAACCTAGTTATGAGATATTTGCCCGAAAAACTTGCTTTCAGGGCTGTGAGGGGGGAGGGGGGGGGGGGGGGTATGCGTTTGCCTCCTCTGCCTCTGAGGGCGGAAAATGCTATGCAGAGTATGGGTAAGTTTGCCAGTATAGCGGCCTTCTGTCGATTTTCAGTAGTTGGTGGATCTTTACAAAGCCTGTAGGCCTACAGAACGACTGGAAGCTTTTTCATGACAGCCTCTTCGACCTGCATCACTGACAGGAGGAAATCGGGTTTAAAAAGTTGAGGGTATAACCTTGACCAATGTCGGTATTAGTCTTGGACCAAAAGGTTTGATAACAGGCTTAGCGAGGGCCAAAAAGAAATTTACAATTTTCGTTAAAAGACAGCAAACCCTTCGTGCTCTTAGATATAGTTAGTAATTTAAGTCATCGTATCACGAATATGGGTTTTGACATGGTCTTATGAAGTATGACGAATGGGGTTGTGGTTTTGACACGACGGTAGTAGTAAGTCTGCTTTATAGACAGGATTTATGGTCAAATTAGGCCCGTAGTCAGACTTGATTGTTCGAAAGGGCAAGATATATATCTAGAGGGGCAATGACGTACCGGTACGTATGAGTTTAGTTACAGTAATAGCATTGGACGATTGTCAGATTGAAAGTTGGAAAACAGTAGGCCTACTTGCCATTCCTCTACCAAAACCGTAGAAAGGCGAAAGGCATTGCAGTTCAGACAGAGAGAAACGGTCAACAATGGATCTTTAATCGTTCATCATGCATGACATCGCTGCCCTACTCGAAAGGAAGAACTACTTGGATTTATCCAAAACTTTTGACTTTAACTTGGCATTCGGGGTCGGCTGTTTTGATGGATCCAAGACATCGTAAAGGAACGCCAATTCTAACAGTGATAAGCACTCGCTGGAGAATGGTAGCCTAGGCCTATCCCGCAATAAGAAGTTTTACCGCCATATTAATCGACCCGATCAGATCTTGGGAATTATCAAACCAACAGAACATTCAAGTACCAACTACTACGACTAACAAAAACTAACTTGTTTGCGATATCAGCATCCGATGGAACCAAAACAAACCTATTCAGTGCTGCTCCAAAAGCTGCATTAATGTAGTCACCCCTCTACTCACCTAAGCTGGTACCGTGTTCCGTTCGGTGCATAGTTAGATGGAATGGGAGAATCAGTTTTACCCACCCAGACAAATTTTAATCTTTAAAAGTATAGAAAATTATGCCCAAGATAAACAAACGAATGAAAACAATTACCACAAAACAAAGAACTGTAAATTAACACAGTTCTATGCGCAAATAGAAGAATAATAATAGTTCAGTCGCAATAGAAAGAAACTTTGAAACTTTTTTATTTCACTACAGGCCTCACGTATGAGGCATAATGATGAAGGAGTTGTCTCCCATATCAATGAATTATTCCCCTTTGTTTTCTCTTATAAAGAAGGCGCGAAAAGTTACCTGTGTATTTCACGAAATTTTTTATCAACACGCTTCATCTCAAAAGCAGAACTGTATAATGTCTGGAAGAGAAGGTTTGTTACGTTTTTCTTGAGTTAGTGAAGAAAATTAGTCCGCCCTGTTAACCCAAATGTTATTGGTCCAAGAGGTTATTAACAGACTCATTCGTTTGACTGTTCTATTTCTCAAATCTACTATTATTACTGAACTATAAGTTATAACCATCATTTGATTTAGCTTAGCTCTGAATTGAATTTTTTCTCTAATATGATAAATATTCAAAATAAAACTTTCAACTGTAGGTAGGCTTATGCCATTTGTCTTAGAATGTCTTCGGTCCATAGAAATATATAAGGTTGAATGATTTTACATAGACACACTTTCCTCCCAGAAAATTCACTTGAAAATGACCTATTTTTCAGACTGAAAATTCCACTCTGTAAAATCATGTTTACAAGTAATAACTTTTCTAGTGGTTGACATTTTCATCAACCCAAAGACAATGTAAGACCCTCATAAGTATTTTGTAGTTTATATTTCAGACTACAATGAATTCTAAATTCAATTTTACCAATTCAATTCAGAGCTCAAAGTAGTCACTGATAACATTAGTAGTCTGAACGACTGAATCAATAATATTCCTATAATGGCCTCTCTTTTACAATGGAAATTTACAGTTTATTTATGAATATCAGCTTTTACATAGTACCGGTATATCAACTGATAGTCGTGGAGTTAATTTTAATGGGTTATAATTAACCTGGCAAATAGGCTTTGTTTTGTGATTATTTTCCGCATCTCCCGCTCTGTCAAAATAATCTATCAGAGCCTGAAATAGAGACAGATTTTTTGGACTATCTCCCTTGCTACAATCCATTATGATTTACTCAGACTAATGTGAATTATAATTTTTTTAGGTGGTAAAAAGAAGCCTTTGAAGGCACCAAAGAAACAACAGTCAGACTTAGATGATGTAAGTTTTGAATTGTCCTCTCATGACAGTGTGTGGGTTTTAACTTTTCAATTGCCCTTATCCCTACCTATAACTTACATTAATGGAAAATGCTATATAGCGGGCACACCCTACTCCTTAAAAGCAAATTTTAAAAGGAAAATAGTTTACTATATTACGGTAATTACAACCCATATATTCTCTTTTAGGACGACAAAGCTTTCAAACAAAAGCAAAGAGAAGAGCAGAAAGCATTAAAAGACATGGCAGCCAAGGCACAAAAAGGTCCCTTAGGTAAAATATCATTGATTTACAATAAGTTTTGTTACAAGGGGTTAAGCTGAGCCTCAATGTACAAAATACAAAATTCACAGATCCGTGAGAATTGTTGACAGTTGAATATTGACCAATCCTCTTAAAATCATCCACAAACAAGCACCAGTAGCATATTGTTAAAATTCTACAGTTGCTCTCGCATTCTCATGTTCTCGTCATTAACTTTGATTGGTTGAGAGTTTACTTCTCGACCAATTAGATTCCAACAAAATATTGTGGGAAAATGTTTGAATAACCAGGCAAAAAATTTTATTTGCCTTCTGATAATTGATTCTCAAAGTTCACGGTTGAGTTCTTTGTTGTATGGTGTCAAAAAGCTATTATATAGTTTTCAGAAGATCTTCTATAATCTTTACAACAGAATATTAATATTTCTTTGAAATGGCATGCCCATCAATGATTCTGCAAAGCGAGTATGACATCATGAATGAAATACTTCCCCTTCCATTTCGCCATTCCAGGAAAAATCCAACATTAAAACTTGCTGAAGATGGACGGAAGTGTTACAATGCTCTGAAATCTTTTGTAAATATTACAGAAACCTGTTAGTAACTAACTTTCTGTCAAGTTCCACATCGATGACATTTTTAAAAATGGGTTGATGCAAAAATGCAACATTTATAAATAATTCAAAGGAGGGCGCCATTTGCAATCACCATCCTTTAATGTCCAATTCCCGATAGGATAAATTAAATAGTGACGTATGGTTTGCGAGAGCAATGGTAGAATATAAAAAATATATGCTAAAACATAGGGGTACTTGCAATGCAAATGGTGATTAACAACTGTCCCTTTAATCCATTTTCCTTTTTTTATTTTCCAGGTGGAAGTGGAATTAAAAAATCTGGTAAAAAGTGACGAAGAATAAATTTAGACACACGACATTAATCCTCATTCTTTTAAATATTTTCCTTCATCTGGTTACTAAACAATAAAACAGAAGTGTCTTGGAAATTGTATTTAGAATATTGTTACTTTTATTCTCAATAAAATACTTTAAGTCACACATGTTATGAGTTCAGATATAGACGTATTTGGTGTTGAGGGACAGATTCACTTTTCCATCACAGGTCATAGATTTTAACACAATAACATAGAGTGCATTTATTTGGTATGTAATATTGTCTTCTAAAAGCAAATTTTATGAGCAGTTATTCTGACTTTGCATGTCAGGGTTTAGGAGATTTAATTATCTACGATTTAGTTTTGATTTGACTGTCAAATGAAATGGAATAAACTAGACTGTTAAAAAGATTTCATTTCTATTTAGTTGCATATGAACAAAAGTTGATGCTTCTCTAAATTTGCATCAATGATTTCAATGACCTAGTTTTGTATGGATGTAGTTTCTGATACAAATTATAAAAAGAATTTTTTTTATTTCTTATCATATATAAAGGTCTGACAATAATACAAAAACATTTAAATCCTCTTTTATTATTAAAAGAATCCTTTTTATAGGGTAATGTGGATTGAATGGACAAGATATTCATATATATCAATATAAACAATGAACAGGCTATACAACTTGACAGTTGCCAATTTAAAGAAGCTTTTAGAAAAAGACTTGTTTAGTTATCTCAACTTATCGGAATGCATACTATAGAGTTATATATAAAAACTTTCTATGACTCTATGATGCATACAAAGTTGCAACTAAATCTCAAATTTGCATCTTAACAAAAAAAAAAAACTAATATAATCATTCTTAGCTCTATCTATATCCAATTGCTGTCATGTTCAGAGACCCAATTTGGAATTCTTTGGCTAAGAAACATAATACAAATGAAGCATGCCATCTTTTATTAAGAAAGACATACAGGGAGACAACAATCATGTGGGCAGAAAAAAAATATCACAGGTCAATCACAATTCTTGTAGTAAAAATAAAAACTATAATCTAGCTTAATAATGAAAATTGTATAATAATTGAGGACATCTGTACAATTACATAAATAAGTTGTATCTTTCAAAATATGTACATGTAGGAGGATTAAACTGTAATAAGGCTAATCATCTAGTTGACAAAGTAGAGCTACACCTCTGTTGACCCAGTGACTGTCTGGTTGTTTTGTTGGTAATAAAATTGTTAAAACATAATTAGTAGAATGACCAGTTGTGGATAATGTTCCTCTTCTAGCACTTGTTTTATAAACTGAAAATGTTCAATGATACATCATAATAATTACTGTAGCCTACTTTTCAGTGATCAATTCAAATAGAGTCAGTCATCATATAAGAGAATGTGCAACAAATCTTAAAACATTGCAGGAAAATATGGTGATAAAACAGATATTCATTTATCAAAATTATGCAGATAGTTGAACTAAAACTTTAGACGAAAGTCTTAGTTGCGCTTAAATCATTCAATTTGTACTATATGCCTTCAGACTTACCTGGACAAGCATAATTGTGTCCCTCTTCAAAACTTGATTTCTCTCCTGGTTTTAACCAAATCTTTTTTTCGAGTTAAGGCTAATATAACACATACTAAATGAATCTCTAGTTTCTAAAAGATGATGCACATGCTCTGTTATTATTTTATCTTTATTGATGCTGAGCACAATATGTTGGTAGTTTATACATGTGGCACAGAGTGGGATTTTGCTAATGTGACAATTTGCAAGGGAATCTGAAAAAAATCAACCTTCTAGGCTAACTAGGTAACGTGCTTAAGCAGTCAAAATTTGTCTTTTTGGAAGGTTGTTATAGGTGTTACAGAAGATACTCTCCGATAGAAGCACTGGCTTAGGTCACAAGTAGAGACTATGGATTTCAACATGAAAACTATTTGTGTAACTGGAAATATACAGCAAAATCCCAGTATGAAAATAGCTACTGAAGCAAAGTCCTACAATGACATAAATTTCATGGGATTATCTTCAGATCTATCTGTAATAGGTACTATAAAAAAAAAGACTTAATAAAATAATTAAATTATGACACCGGTGTAGACCAAATTATAACCCAATGTTCGTTTTAAAAAGGATACAACAGGCATAATATCATAGAGAATTTTTGGTAACGCTTCTTCTATACATTTAGTTTGTCGACACCATCTAGCACCTTCCATGAATAACCCTTTTATGTATGCACCATTTGTCTGAAGGAATAAAATAGAATTTTGATTACAAAGTGAATACATGATAGTATTGAACAATTGCTGCATTTTTTGCAAAGTCAAGAACAATTGTAGGAGTATGGGATAAATGCGAACCAACAGCCAGGGAAAGAGTGATGACTATTTATTTCCACACAAAGTTTACAAAATATATCAGTTTTTTCAATGAAGAGTGGCTTACAGGCTTTGCAGATACAGTTGATTCATGGTTTGTAACTTCAAATTCAAATCCTAAATGATCAATTGGGATTTTAAAACGTCTTGCATAATTTTGTAGTACACCAGTTAAAAATGATTGTGTAAAGTAAAAACCAGAAATCCAGAATACTGTTGGTGAACCACTAAATATCCAATCCTAGAAGAAATAAAATAATGATATAATAACTTCTTTACATAAATAGAAATTATCACTATAAAATATATATGAAATCCTAGCCAGAATTAATGTAATAATGAAGTTAAAGATGGGTTCCCTTATTTAATTTAAGAAAATGCTAATACTTAAATATTTCGCTTATTTTGACACTAGAAAATAAGGAACCCATTTTTAAGTATTTTGTATTTTGTAAATACAAACTTACCTTAAAGAATAGTAATCTAGCCAGAAGGTCAGTTATATAACTTCCTAATGGTTTTAATGATGGGTAAGATTTAGAAGCCCACATTGCAGGTACCTACAAAATGTTGGTAGATTTGTGGAGTCAAATATTGACAGTTAATATTAATGGCATTTAGAAGTAGATAGAACAATAAATAAAGAAGAACACTATTATTGATATACTACTTCTTTCTTTAATGTTTGCAACGTTTCAATTCACATACAGGAATCTTTATCAAGCACAAAATAATAATAATAAAATATTATTTTGTGCTTGATAAAGATTCCTGTATGTGAATTGAAACGTTTCAAAAATGAAAGAAAGGAGTAGTATATCAATAATAGTGTTATTATTTGTTTTACAAAATTGGTTAAAATAAAACAACCTATTTTCTTGCCAAAGACTTTCTTCAGTTTATCCATTACTTTTTTACAGATCAATTGTTTACAATTCATATATATGCGGTTAAAGATTGATTGAAAGCAAAATGAATCTTGTCCATTGACCTACATATGAGAATGAAGAAAATAAACTTACCTTTCCAACCATCATACTGTAGAATACATCTTCTAGTTCAGATGACATAACAACTAAACCTTTAATAGCTTTTCTTATATCTTGTAAACTTTGACGCACAACTTGTATTAATCTGTTAAATCGAATTAATTCTTGTACTAATACAGTATTCATTGATTCTTCATATCGTACTGGATATTTATTCTTAACTTCTTCTAAGTTAAAATCTGGTGGTATTTTTGATAATATATCACTTGCTAACTCTTCTATAATTTGCTGGGATGATTTTCCTCCACCAGATATCTACAAAAAGCAAAGTATGAAGTCTCCATTGTCAATAGTCTATCTCTACAAATTACATTATCACAGACAGTAACACTTATAGATAAAATTTTCTTAAATTTACAGAGAAATAAACAGGTAAATCTATATTGGAAATTATCAATTTATTTAGCTTATACACATGAACATTTTTAGAAAATTAATTTACCTGTCTTGGTAAGGTTAACAGAATCCCATCAAACATCTGTTGAGTTTCATGTTGATCTTTCGAGATATCTGCATTTTCATGAAGACCAAAAACCTTAAAACAGGTTATGAAAGGAAAATGAAATCTATAGGCCTACACAAGAGGCACATGTAACATGTACATAATACCATATAAAGAAGCATGTAAGGTTTCAACACAAGGTGTTAGCAAAGTAATTTATAGATGAAGTGAAATGATCATCCTTGTCAGTTGTCTTTATTGGTTAGGAAAGATTGTAGACATATTGATGTTTCAATAGTTGAGAATGAAATAAATGATTTGAAAATTACCTCTGGATGTGGGATCAATGGTAATTGCCGTACATACTTCAAGTAATGTTGATAACTTCCCTTTACTGGTGCATAATATAAGCCACTATCAGAAAACTTATAATTATCATTGTCTATTATCTCTTGACAATAAAATATTTTTAATATACTCATTATTAATCTTCTATCATAATCATCAGTCACTCTTCCACCATAATTACATTCACCAGTTAAATACGTTAATGCTTCTAATGGTGGTTCATCATAATCATTTATAAACATCTGAAATCAATTTTCAAACTTCTTGCATTTTAGATAATTAAGTTATTATACAAATGTTAAGTTTAATTGATAAGAGCTTATCTTAAGCTACTGGCACTTACTTCGGATCACAGAAGCTTTATTTGGATATAGTTATATAATTTGTGTTTGTACCTCAAGTTGTCGAACTGAGATACGTAAATCAGATTCATTAAATTCATATGGTATATTCCAACCTAGTGGACCAAACTTCCTTCTTTCTTGAACCAAAGCATGAAAAAAGCACAATCCAAATAAAAGCTTTTCAAATTCCTGCAAAGTAAAAAAAATAATATCAATATTACATTTGCATCGAATTCAACACAATTTTTGGATTGTATAACCTTTAAGAATTTAGCAACAATATTATTATAGTATGATTAATGATAATAAACATAATTTATGATACATAATGCTTTAAATGTGTTCTAGAACAACTGTAGTAGACTCACCTTTGGTTTGTTACTACTATGGAAGAACATTGGATCAGAAATAGGATCATTGAGATAGGATCTCAGTAGATTGGCACGCAGACCTTTTGGTGGTTCATTGGTCATTTTAACACCATTTTGTAAGACTGAGACGGGAAATACTGAAGATGGGTAACTTGTTAACCATAATCTAAATGAATTCTTGGTTTTAGTCTGGTCAGTTATTACCTAAAATAGAAATGTTTATAAACATTAATTTTCAAATTTTATACAGTTGACATTTCTGGCTAATTTACAATTACAATTCTTGTAAAATTGAGAAAATATTTAATTTAGCATTTAAATTCTTAAAATACTTACAGATTCACAAATTCTTTCAAGTTCTGGTAGCCAAGAAGCAGCAAGATGACAATTCTGTAAAACCACCCAGGTACCTTTCTCCAATGCCTAAAAAATATATATATTTTTAACCCCTAATATAAGTGGTAAGTATGATTATAAAAAATAATACATCAAATGAGTTAAAACAATATGATTTGACATAAACTTTTGAATACCCTTTTCTTAATACTTCATCTGTGTTTCCACAGGCAATACAATGCATTTTTTTTATTTCTAGAGTCTTGTGGACCTCTATTCTAACATCTGGACTATAGCTTGTCAGTATTTAGTATATCACCTCTAAAATCATCTTCTCTGCAATAGGACCTTGACCTTGTCCTAATGATATAGTTTGTAAGCCTTTATTACCCATTCCTATAATAGAATATATAGTCGGTGAATTGAAATTATGTCATGTTATAAACCAAAAGATTTGGATTGATCCTTTGCTAGGATTATTATTATCATGCAGAGTCTGTTATTATGAAGCTGTCAACCAATTATTTTGCAAAGATAATGTCCATATCAAGCAACATCTAATGTTTAAAAATATCCTTTTAATTATTAATTTTGGTTATTACTTGAACTTTACTTCATAACAGTCAAATCAGTAGTAAAGTAAAAGATATATCACCATACGGTTGTCATAGAGCAATTTTATATGTGAAATATGGTGAATTCTAAAAGTAGCTTATACCCTGAAAAATGCAATCTTCATTACATGAATACTTATTTTATTTCATTTGACAGCACCTCTGTAACAATACTAAAATTACTTTGTAAACAAATGCGTAGTAAAATATTTTAATATTTTAATATAATATGTTTATATTTATCATCAATATTTAATGATACAAGGTGCAAAACAATGTCCTTCAAAACAAAACACATTGTGAGTTATGGTGAATTGAATAATTTTACTACCAGTGTGAATTCCTCAAACTTACTATCTGTCAATAGCTGAAATATAAACCTTGGGAACTGAAATTGACACTTTTAAAATGACAATTGTTATATATGTAGTTATGAATAAATGATGAATAAAATGTTTGCATTGTATCATAAAATGGTATATATTATCCTCAAGAATCAAATTTTATAAATTCATAAGGAATTGACTCTATAAAATATCTGATGTTACAAAACTGTTATTCTTAAATATTGTTAAAATTTTCATCTAAAAGAAAAATAATAAATTTCTTTAAAATTCTTGTTAAAATACATGGTAAATGTAAATGATAATATAAACAATAAGAATTACCCTATTATTTTAGATTAAAAATATTGTTAGGTCTCAATTTTTCTACATCAAATACGTATATATCTAATGATTATAACCCTAACCTTAATAAATATATCAAATGGTTAAAGGACTATGTTTTATAATCTATGGGGTAAGAAGCAGCATATATATGGTTATTTCAACCTACTCTTGGCTTCTTCATGGGGATCATCTACTGGTAGAACAGACATTCTACGATTTCTAGCTACCTGTTTAGGCTTTGTTTTTTTTTCAACTTTCTTAGATTCAATGATACCTAAATATTCAGGAAAGAATAAACTGTGACATGTATCATTTGAAAATAGTAAGATAACTATCATATTACTTTCTGTTGAAGCTGAGAAAATGATAAAATGAGCTGCAATTTCGATTTAAAAATGTATTTAAAGGGGTTCACAAGAAGTTTTCAAGTCTGTGTATATATATAGGAACTTCTATAGCTTCTTCTAGTATCTCTGTTTTTGTACATTGAAGTTTCAGGTGTCAACTATACACAATCTAGGATTATAAAACCTCTTTTGTTGCACCACATCATTGAAAGGAGAATGCTATACATTTCATTTATTGTCGTAAGGGATGCTAGTAGCTGTAAGATAATCTCCAATGACAATACAATAATCTCTAACAAAATCAGCCAACTGCAATTCAATATTCAAGCAACATTTCAAATAAATCTTAAATCTATGTAAGTGTATTACCTTTTTCTTCAGCAAATCTGAATAGACCAGCCATTGGGTCAGCACCAGGAGACAACACGAATATTAATGGTGAATAACAATTAGAATCTTGATAACATAATGATAAATCAAATGTAGGTGGTTCAATATATATCTGACCCATTCTCTCAGCTATATATTTCTGAATTGCTGGTACCATCTGAATAGGGAGTAACAGCAATAAGAGCAATAAAAAATAATAATTCTCTGATGTACGTATACGTACAAATTTTATATGCAGTTACTGGGGTATTGTTTGTAAAACTACTGGATTCTTTTCAAATTTTCCCTTTTTAGAGGTAAACCATACAATCAAAAGATTAGATGACATCATCAAAAATTTGAAACTCTTGGACACCAAAAGTGCCTTCACTAGACTACATTTACTAAATCATCATTAGTGAAGATGCTTTTTATGAGGATTATCCACTTGTCTATCAAGACTTGCATTATAATTTCTACTTTATTAATATTTTCCTTACTTTATCAGGTCTGAGACATCTTAAAACTATCAATTCCTCTAGGTTTGTAAGACAATCACACCAGGGTAGTGGTAATGTTTCTAGATGAGGTGTTGCTGAATCATAGATCTTTTTCCAATCATCTAACTGTAATAGTAAACATGATTCACAGAATACAACAATCCTAAAATAGGTCATCACTATAGTACACAGTTCTATAATCATTTCAGTTCACTTCTAAATTAGTATCGGGATCTGAATGGCTCAGTAAGTTAGATCCTTGCTTGCTAATGCAACGGTCCTGAATCAATCCTGGTATGGGCCAAGATATTAATTTTGGATTTTTCTACCCAGGCTCCACCTAACAGTGATGCAGGTTAGAAAAGCTGACATGGAAAACACGTCTTGTTATATGGATGGGACAATAAAGGAGGCCCAATGTGTAACTGTAAATGTACGTACATGTTTTTGAAAGTGATCCATAAATCCTGTAAATGCCTTCATAGATGAAGCTCTGACAATCTCAGCCCATGATTTATCAGCTAACCATGATGATGCTGGGTTGGGGAAAGGATTTTCTAGAGCTACACCACCAGTCAATAAAAACCTCCAACTCTGATCATTGATGTCACCTCTAGTTAAAAAAATTATATAAATATTCTACTATGATGAGGTTTACTGGTACAATTGATTTATTTACAATAAGCAAGTGCTATAGATATTTACTGACTTATGCTCCAATCTTGCTTAGTTTAACCCAATAAAGATTGTGAGAAATTCTGAAGGAGAGAATTATGGAAAATATCATAATTTTAGCAAGATCCTATACTTACCTTCCTTTTTCCAGCCCAATACACAGTAGGAATGAGAATAGTAATTTATCTTTTTCAAATAGAGAACGGCACACATTTTTATAAATACTATATGTAAGATGTTCTCTCAGATTATTTATTCTTTCCCACAGTTCATCTGATTTATCACTGTTCAGTATTGACTGAAATTAAAATATCCAGAATATTAAAATAGTTCATAATTCTTCGTAAAGGCTCTAAAATCAATGAGAATATTTCACCTCATTAAGGCAAAGACCTTCAAATATGCTTTAATTAACATTTATCTGCTGAAGTTTTCATAGCAGAAAGTCTTCGAAATCATATTCATTAATGTGCAAGCAAATTTGTTTAACCAGATTTGTTAACAAATCAAATTACCTGATGATACAAGTTTATAAACCAAGCCAATGAATACTGATACATAGGATCGATATTAGCTAAATCACTGATAGTAAAAAATAGTATACTTCCATGATGAGCAATCTACAAATATAAAATCACGTTCAAGAGTGAAAATGATCATAAAAATGCTGTTAATGTCATTACTGTGCAACATTTGACCAATAGACTTCATCTAACTAGTACAGAGGTAATTAATATAGACAGTAAACAGTCCAACAGTTGTAGTCCATTTTTTTATCATGTCTTTTTTTAAATATGTGACAGTCACATAAATATCAATTTGTCTGCATTTAGTCAAATTAAATTTTGCTGTTTCAGAGTGGTCAAATAGTAACCAAATTCTATAAAAATATCTGTGAATCCAGGAGAATATGTGAAGTAAAAACATCAGATACTTACTGGTTTATATCCATTTCTAACTGTATCTATTTCAGATTCTGTTTCTGATGCTATTTCTTGTTTCTGTGAAATTTCTTCAGATAGAATTTTACTGGATGATAAAATATTGATGGCTGTTTCATCTTCTAAAATATTACCCTACAAAACAATACAGATATAACAATTAATAACCCTAGTCTAAATCAAAGAAATTGACAAAGAAACTTTTCATCAATGTTATTAAATTCAATGAAGACTGAGGAATAACATAATTCGACTAATTTTTTTCAAGAAAAGGAAGACAATTATTACTACAGGTATACCTGAGATGATGAAAGAACTTCTAGTATTTTATCCTCTATTTCTTTTAATTGACGTTTATTTGCAGCACTTTCTACAATCAACTGGTTTTTCTTTTCTTCTAATTCTGGCTTCTCTTTAGCGGCTACAATACCTAGTAACTGATCTTCTAAACCTAATGGTGTGATCATAAAGTTTAATAATGTCACCTAGAAAATAGGGAATGTATAATTACCATAATGCAAATACAACTGTTATAGTGTTAAACAAACATTCCAATAAAAATTACCATAATTCTTAAGATAGCATGCCAGGCAAGGTGACAAACGCCCACTACCAACTGTCAGAACTTATAACAAAGTCTGTAAAGGTTTAATATGTGAAACCAATCATCCGATTGTTACTAATTTCAAACTTTACTGAGATCTTATACCAAGTTTCATCAAGATCGAATAAAAAATGTAGTCTCTATCAGGCCTACAAGCCAAATTAGACACATTGAATTAATTCAAGGGCCATAACTCCAAAACCATTCATCCAATTATTACCATTTTTATACGCCCACATCTCTCTATGTGGACGGATATTGTCGGCATCCCTCTCCGTCGGTCGGTCCGTCTGTAGGTTGGAGAAAGTTTAGTTTACTTCTGATTAAATTTAGGGCTTTTTCAAGATTTAGGCCTCTTATGTCAGTTTTGAGGAGTTATCCCCCTTTAACCTCTATACACTAAATGCTTCTATCATCAATTGCTTGTAAACAGTCTAAAAACTAGAGTGTTTGAAGGAATCAAATGAAATTTGGTATGTGCATACATATTCATGAAACGAAGATCAAGGTCGAATTTGAGCTATTTTCGATTGTTAGAAGCAGAGTTATTTCCCTTGCCCCAAAACCTTGAATATGCTATTCAACCGATTTTGATGAAACTTAAAATAAATGTTTCGTTTTTTTTTTGGTATTCTTGAAGCGATCTTAGCGTTAGGACGTCCTAGGGTCTTAATATCTGTTTTAGGACGTCACAGCATTAAGATCATTTCAAGAATACCGGACATGCTGACTTCAATTGAGAAAGAACATAAACAAACACAGCCATTAGAAAACCATTCCAGTATGTTAGACAAATAGACAAACAATTATTTAAATCAAGGTATTCAAATCAAAAACATATATTCAATTCAAAAACATATTCACTTACTTTAACAGAGACTTCAGGTAAATAATGAGGATTACGAAGTCTAGTTGTAATATAAAATGTAAAACCCTGGCTATATTCTATAATGTGTTCACCAAGTCGAATATAATCTAAATTATTCTAAAAACAGATCGAAAATCGTTTGTTAAATAGAAATTATTAAATGTTTCTAAGAACAACAACTACATTATTTGATGAATTGAGGTTCATGTATAGATTAAACCATTTTTTTCATTGTTACCTGATTTATCTTTGTAAGATGATTAAATGATATAAATAAATCTAAGCAATATAAACACAATACAGTTCAGAAGACATGATCAATCTTAATCATTTGAAAATGAAAGAGATGTATTGATTTAATCAAATATGTAATCATGTATTAAATAGAATACGTGAAGAATTTTTATTTAATGGATGCAATTGTTGATATTAAAAGGAATTAGAATGGACAACTAGTAAGGATATGTGTGCATATGCATGGAAGGATAATATTTTGAAAGGCTTCTATTGACCAGGCAAGAAATAATGATGAAGGAGGTTTAGACCTGTCATGCGAATCATACCTGTCACATTTCTGGGGTTTAAATCCCGAAAGAAAAATGTTGATGTGGAAAATATCGTAAGAAAGTACATATGAAAGAAGAAGAAAATATGATAGATGATAAAGAGTGATATATTGTATACAGGACATTTTGTCAGTGAGAATTATACTGTATCTCAAGTTATATCTACTTACTTCTCCAGGCTTTAAATCAAAAAAGAGGACATGGATTATTTTATGACTTGAGGACAGTTGCTCAACAGACAGTTGCTCAACAGACAGTTGCTCAACAGACAGTTGCTCAACAGACAGTTGCTCAACAGACAGTTGCTCAACAGACAGTTGCTCACCATATAAATGAGAAATAAGACAATTGTTCTCCACAATGTTATAACATACTTCTTTTCTGTTCTTATCAATTTTTAGACCAATAGCTTTTCACAAAGGTTGGTTTATTGGTGGGACTATGGCTACTTTTCTCAAATGACGGCTCCTCATCAATGACAGTAGTCCAGCTGCACAACTTCAGGTAACAGTATTGTTTATAGATATTAATAAAATGGCATATTTAATTATTTACCTGTTTGAATGTTTGTTTTAATAAAATAGGTTCTAAAATTGGGTCTAATTCTTCACCTACATTCTCTAAGAGACATGGATTACCAAACTACAAAAGTGTACATAAATATCAACCGTTATATTAGAAAGCAATAATTTTAAGGGGGAACTAGGGCCGAAATTTATTTTTCTTTATTTCAAGGAATAGATGTATGAAACTTTGCATAAATGATGATAGTGAATATTAAAACACATATGTAGGGAAAAATCTGATGTCAATGGTCGGTTGCCATGGTAACCAAGTAAAAGCCCGAAAATTAGTGATTTCAGGAAAAGATGTAGATCTCTGTAACTAATAAGAGCAGGGTATCCATTTTTGACTAGTTATTCTAGATATAATTCTGCATGCAGTAACAGAGAGTTTTTGGTATAATAATGAAAACTTTTACTTTTGTGGCATGTTTAAAATAGGTCTCAAAAAAATTATTAAAAGTTTTTAAAAATTGACATATTTCTCATTTTTTTCAAATTTTTTTTCCTAAAAACTCTCTGTTACTGCATAGATAATATATAAATAGAGATAATTGCAAAGTTTCATGCAAATCCATTAAATAGTTTAGGAGATCTAGGTCTCATTAGGGACATTTGGGTCAAAAAAAGTTATTTGAGAAAAAAAAACAAGTAAGAAATATTGGTTTCAATAAAAACTCATCTTTTTGACAGGTAGATTAAGCCTATCATGGACACACTTTTCATTAATAACCAAATCTTGATCAAATAATTAATTTATTACATTTTACCTGCAGACAATTTTCAAGAACTCTGGTATAATTAGGATCATTGAGTTTTATTATTCCTAATTTATTCGCCTTTTCCATATTCTTGATCCATTTATTAGCTTGACCTTGTGGATCTATCATTAAGGGCCATCTATTAGCTGACATCACTATTATAGCATTATCTGTCGAATAACTGTAAAGTATAAACATAAAAAAACACAAAATTTCTTTTTTATCAAACCGAGAACAAAGATTTCATAGTCAAGCCTCAAGGCTCGCTTCTCATTCACAGCTATTTATGTCATAAATACATTGCATACTTGGAAAACTTCTGACTTATGTAATATGAAGAGAAACAGAAAGGCATACTTACTTGTCAACAGGAAGACCTGCTATTTGCCAATCTCTAATTCTTACAGGATCACCTAATATCTTTGATAAAGAGAATACCTCAGATACTGGTATACCTTTTTCTTTACACATAGAATACCATTCTTTTAAAGCTTCCTGAAAGTAAAATATACACATTTTAAAAAGCATCAAAGTAAAATATTAAAATTTAATATGCACGTAATCTCTATTTAACAATAACCACTGCGTATCATTATTTTTATAATCATCTAGGCTTTTATAGTTGTAAAATACATACCTGTCTATAATCCAAAATAAATGGACCAAGATATGCCACTACACTGGCTGATAATAATACATCACCAACAATATTCATATACGTCTCACTTAATGTATCAACATTCTACAATGATATCTTATTAATATTTATCAACAAAAATATTTCATTTACTGAATTTACATGCATACATCTTATATCTTTTTTTTTTTATCTTAGTAGAATATGAACAAGAATATGAACTTTGCAATTTAAATTTTATGAAAATTTGGTTTCTGTCTCCTTTTTTCATAGAGTATTATTTTAATTTTTTGGAAGCCCTGATTACTGAGCATCCTGTTTATTTTCTACTGACCTCAGTCCATCTAACTTTCTCTCCTCCTAAACCACTGATTAACTTGGTAGCTCTTTCAATCTTAATCTTAGTCATCTCTATATTATCTTCTAGATTCTATAGAATATAAATCATAACAAAGGTTTTAATGTTGGATACAACAAAGGCACTAAAATTCTACAAGCCTGCAGTTCTAAGTAATTGCAATATTCCAGAAATTCTTCTTGGTTTTATGATGATTATATATGACACATAAGAGAGATCATAAATGACTTTATCTAAGTAGATGGGAATAAATAAAATACTAAAAAGTCACCTTTTTTTCAATTTGTTTCTGTTCGAGGTGATCATTTAATGTTTGTAATTTATCAGTAACTTCTTTTAATTCAGCCTGTGTTTGATGTAATTTAGCCATTTGTTCAGCTAATACTGATTCTGCAGCTTTTAGACTTCGCTGTTTTGGAGCTACTACCTGTAACACATTTCAAAAATTTTGTTCTTGTGCAATGCAAAACATACAGCACTATGAACATCAGATGATAAAATTAGAATCAATTTCCCCGCTCATTGTTAAAGATTGCAGAAGAATAACTGACAAAACCCAGCAAAATTATCAGTTCTGAACAAAAAGTAAGAATCAAAATCTTACCTTAATGACACTGTCATAAATATCCATAGCTCTCACCCATTTACATAATCCTTCACAAGCTGATGATATATTCTTTATAATAGCTGGGTCAAAATCAGGATTAGAAATGTATTTATCTCTTATTTTCTTCATAATTGTACTGGGTATATTATCTTTATCATATTCCCTTAAAGAATCTAAAAACTTCATATCATTTAACATCTGAAATACAAAACAATAGTTTGTTAACACTGCATCAGATATGATGTTTAATTGAGTAAACACAAAACTAGATGTTCAAACTCTGTGAACATGATCCTTAATTGTTGAAAATTAAAAATAGATTTGAATATGATTAAACATAACATTTGGACTTACTCTTTTAGAGGCAGGCCAATAGTCTTCAAATGACTTTCCACTAGGATCTGTTTTCCTTTCTGGCCTTATACCCTGTAAATTTTATCATGTATACTATAATTCCAAGAATATTTGTCAAATTTGTCTCTGCATACAGCATACTAAAATATTATGTTGATCAATTAGGCTAATGCAATGTGAATTTTTGCTCAATAGAATTAAATGGACAAAATGCCTTTGATCAACAGAAAGTACTAAACAAAACAGACATACAATAAAAACCTTCATAATACCTTCATAATACAAACAGATTCCATAACCAGTTTGACTCCTTGTGGTGGATTAGTCATTGTTTTAACTATAGTAATATCATTTTGTTTTAATGTATTGAGTGCAGCAATAGCAGCATTTAAAGCAGGCATAGCAACGGCTAATTTCTCCTCGCATTCAACCTTCAAATAAATCAAAACTATTAGTAGAGGTTATAATGAATTTGACAAAAAGGAAAGGTATGCTTGGAGTAAAAATGGAGAAAATGGCATCATTGGATAGAATCAAGACCATAGATCATAACTAATAGAAAAACTGATCCAAAAACCAGCAAATTTGCAAAAAATTGACCAGTCTAAGGCAAGTCCTGGTTTTTTAATATGTTGAAGATTATATTTTTTTAAATCAACCTTAATAGATTTAGCTTCCATAGCTGATTTATTAGCAACAGCTTCATCTTCTTCTACAATCTTCTTCTTAGCTTCAACTTCCACTGTCTCTTCTTCAATAATAGCTATTAATTCTTCAGTCTCTTTACTCGTTTCTATTAATTTGGGTTGGAGATCTAATAATTCACTCTGCATAACACTGATCTAAGAAAATCAAGTAAGAAAGGTTTACTAATAAAACAAAAAACAATGGAAATGTTATTTTTCGAACTAATCTACAAGGGTAAATTTTAAATAATGTACACCATCCTAAAAATTACTTGTTCCATATAAGACATCATTGACACTCACCTGTTGTTCAGAAAATTCCAGCTTTTCTAATCCAACCATATATCTATTCTTTAACGTCAATATTTCTAATCGTTTTTTATTCAGTAAGTTTTTAAAGGTCTTAATCAATTCTAAATATGATGTTGGTGTTACATAATTTCTTCTTCTCATGGTATCAAAGTATCTGATGGAAACATAGAATATATTGTACAATACAGCCTGCTGACATAATATATATCAAGGGAAATAATTACTGTGTCAAGGGAATTAATTGTTGTGACAAGGGAGGTAATTTGCTGTGTCAAGGGAGATAATTTCATGAATCAAGGGAGATAATTTGTAAAAATGCTGAATCTGGTATTTTGTTTTGGTAATATAAATGTGGATTGCTTTATAATAAAATTGTATAAATATACAATATAATGAATATATGAAATCTGACTCACTGTTCTGACAATGCTCTGACACTCTGATGAAAATGTTTACACATAACAACAGTCTCTTCTCTTACTTCTTGTGTCATTTCAACATCATCTAGAAAGTTATTGGCCACCAATTCTAGTGCATCTTCTGGCCATGCCTAACGAAGTGAATGAAAGTAAAACTACACTGCAACATACGTTTTTTTGCACATGAAAAAGATATCAGCAGACAGACAGATATGGTCTTTAGCGTTTAAATCTCAAGAGTATAAGACAGATCTCAAAACCCAAGGCCATATGTTTCCAGATAAATATGATCTTTGACAGTATGATGAAGACAGTTCAATATCTGATTCCTGGGAATTCCAAAGTCAGGAGGTGTAACCTCAGAGACCTTAATGAATAAAGGCCAACAAAACTAAATATGAAACCTCATTACAAAAAAGAACTGTCGAAATTACGAAAAAGTACCTTAAACCAATCAATGGTACAACAGTTTATCAAAGAGGGAAACATTCTCAATCTATTTCTGAAGGCATCACCAATAGGACTAAAGGCTAATACCACATGTAGATTGCGACGAACTCTCTCAATAAATTTATTATACATATTTAAAGCTGTTAATTCTATTTGGAGATTCTCTTGTTGACAAACTACCATCATCTGAAAGTAAAAATTGGGTTTATTATTCTTCAAGCCAAAATCAAGTTTGAGAGTTTTCCATTTTTAAATTGAGCCATTTCAAAACTCTTATTTAGACAACCTGCATAAACTAGACCTTGGAACCACTGAGTGGTTATTAATGGACTAACTGATATTACTTTTGTATTAAACAACCTCACCCTTTCAATGATTTCAAGTCTCTCTTCATTTTCATATAAATTAGGAATATCTCCTGTATTTAATATCATATTAACATCCTCTAGAAATGACTCATCCTGTAAATATAAAAGTGTACTTATATTCAAAAATAATATACAGATACATTATATTTGCTTGTTTAGAAAATAAGATAAACCAACATGGGATTTAACTTAACAGAAACTGTAGTTAAATATATATTTCTATTTATATTTGAGCTAACTTGACAGAATAACATCTAACTCCTATTATATAATTGAATACCTTTATTTGATGATCTCCAAATAAAAAGACAGTTGATATTCCTTCATATCCTGCTCTTTTCATCATTTTCCTTAAATCATCTCTCCATTCTACTGCTGTATAATTCTTAGTTATTTCAATTTGAAATACTTCAAAATCAGCCATAAAGGCAGCTAATCTGGTGGCGCTTTGTCTTCCACTACCTCCAATGCCTGTAATATATCATATAGGTCCAAGCTATTAGAAGAACAGAAAACATGAATAATGGTGTCTATTTCCTTTGAAAATATCAGAATTCATTTCATTATTATTTCAAAACCCACTATCAACAGGCTATCAAGAGTAGTTTCCATAATGAAGTCTAATAAGAATTAAAGGACAAAAACTACTTACCAACTAACAAACAATGTCCATTGGGTTGTTTTAAAACACGACTTATTCGAGAAATATGTTCAATAGCAAATCTGAACATAACCAAGTCCATTGGAGCCTTAGTCATAACATTATAATCTTCTAAATATGATTCCATTGTCTGCAAAATAAATATAAATTGTCAATTTACAGGTCTTTTACAACTGAATTGTTGGAAATCCAAAAATGCTTTAATTCTTGTAATCACTCCAGCAATAATATAATAACTATCACATATATGTTCTGGTAAGTGGTAAGATATTCGAATAAGCATGTTTAACCTAAAAATTTATTTACGTTACTGCTGTAATAAGGATTTAATTATGTCTTTGAAAATACTTTTTTGTAAATATATTCCTTTTTATTGCGAATGGATAATCTTTATAGATGTACCATCTGATCTCAATTCAGCCAGAAATCAAATAACATGCCCTTACCTCTCTCAATTCATCAATATCCATGATTTCATCATAGACTTTACTTTCTTCTTTCTTAGCCATAAAATCACCAAATAGTAAACTTCTTAAATTGTCATCTGACACTACTTTACCAGCCTCAGCTAGATGACCAAACAATGTATTAAATTTCTCTTTAAAATGTACCTCTACACATGCCTGAAATGTTTACAATGGTTTCCAGAACTGAAGCATGTTTTGAACTTGTTGATCACTGTTTTTCCAAAATTTCGTTAGCTACCATGACCGAAAACTTTAACATATAATGCAATTGCCATACCACACGTTTATTGTAATTTAAGAGGACTTTCAAACATTATTGATATCCAACATCTGTCATGTTAATGGAAAATATTCTTTCAAATTTAGCAAAATGTCTTAATAACACACCTCTTGAAATAACGGAAAGTTACCTTTATCATTTTGAAGAAATTTTTCCTATCTTGGTCATCAACCAATCTATCATAGAAAACTCTATAAACTTCATGTACCCATAGTCTAGCTATCTTCTGATTCCCCTCTACACCTTCTGGTACTACATAAGGTTTTAATAATAAAACACCCTACAAATAATATCAATATTATTACAGCCATTAATGATATCTTTCAATTTTTCACTCATTGAATCTTAAATGATTTACCTGTATAACTCTGGAAAAATCTCGTAAATTGAATAAATAATGCGATTTAGATGGAGTAGGTAAAAATGTAGAAATTGCATTCTCAAACATCTCTATTGTGGCACCAACTATAATCTGGAAATATAAGAGATTACTTTAGATTATGAACATGTTTCAGTTAAGATGTATATGGACAAACATGTATATGTAATTTGAATCTAGATGTAAATAGTATCTAGTGCTTTAACAGACGAATAGAGTTATGATACAGTAACTACCGTCTTCAGATAAATATCATTAGTTCAAAATGGTCTTACCCTGGAATATCTTCTTAAAGAGGTCTCAAAAGATTTAAAATGCCAGTCACTTATTGGTGAGAATATATTCTTCATGGTCTCTTCATCAAAACTTTCAATGCCAATTATATTAAAATGACGTAAGAATCTTGGAGTGACTTTGTTTCTTCCACCACCAGGGGGTCCCATTGCTGCGACCATTATAATATCTACTATTTGGAGAACAGATGTATCTTTTCTGTAATATAGGAATCATTTTCAAATCTAAGCAATTCTTCGGCACTGGTCATTCTATTAGGATAAATAGTGTTTAGGGCTTAATTAGATATAAAAAAATCAACAAGAAACAGCTTTTATAGTATGTTTTGTTAGACACTTTACCAGCAAGTGTTGAAGATATTTTCTTGTCTTGGGAACCCCAATGTCACAATTACATTACATTAATCCATAATAACTGTCTTGTGTTTGAGATATGTACTCCTCGCTGCTAAATGTTATTCAATCTTATCTGTCAGAGTAAGGCTTGATTGTCTATATATTTGTGATAAAAATCTGGTTTACATTTAAAATGTCCCAAATTAAAACTTTTAAAGATGCAACTTATCACTTGCCTGTCAAACCAGTAACCTTGATCAATCCATTGACGTAGAACTTCTATAGGTGGTTGAGCACCATATTTCTCTTTGGCTGGCATATTCAAATCATCCACAAATACACACAATTTTTTACCAGGAGCAGGTCCATAAATACCCTTCCTTCTCCTTAAAATTAAAGATATCACAATTTTAAGACATAGTGAATGGCCTATTGGATTGACTTAATTTTGATGGGCCTGTAATTAAAAAATTCTTGGAGAGGTAATAATAACATGTTTATATGAAATGAAGATAGCTTGCCAGGCAAGATAATATACGCCCACTGCCAGCTTTGATTTTGAACATAAATATTTAGCTGTACAGTAACAATCACCAGTATGAAATATTCAACTTCAGTCATACACTTCTTTTGAACTCTTTAGGGAATACTGAATAATATTGAGTATGAGTTATTTCCCTAGTTCTTAAAAACGTGTTTAATCTTTAGCTCGTGAAAACTCTAGAAGACAACGGTTTATCCATGGGTGATAACCAACACTCATGTCAAGTTTCGTCAAAATCAATAAAGAATTGTGCCTTCTGGGATGTTCACTAGCGCGTTTTCAAGAACAAGGGCAATAACTCATAGTAAATATTTTTTCAATTTTTCTGATTTTCGATAGGATTATCCTTGGGCGTTTAAGAACACTCATGCCAAGTTTCATCAAAATCTGTCATGAATTGCACTTTCTAGAGTGTTTACGAGCGTTTCAAGAACAAGGGCAATAACTCATAGTAAATATTTTTCGATTCGTCTGATTTTCAATAGAATTCATCCTTGGGTGATTACAAACAACCATACCAAGTTTCGTCGAAATTAGTCAAGAATTGTGCCTTGTAGAGTGGTTACGAGCAATTGTGGATGGACGGACGGACGGACGGAAATGGGTGACGACAATATAATGGTAGAGAATGAAAACATTGTGTCAAAACTAAAATTAGAATACTGACTGTAAACAACACGTACCTATCAAGTTTAGAGAATATTATATCTTGTGTTTGATTGGCTGATGTTTGTGCCGAGAAGTTGATGTTATTTATAATATATTTATCTTTTGGTAAGTTTAATAAGAAATTGTTAGTTATAGCTGATTTGCCTGTACCAGTTGGACCAACAAATAACACAGGTTTACCACGACTTACAAAATGTTGTAAGAAATATCGTTGTTTTTCAGTTTCCACTGTATTAATTATCAAATCATTCACCTATAAAGAATAAAAAATAAACATTTTTCAATAATTTATGGCAGCTCATTATAAATAATAATGTCTAGAATTAAGTTTACAAATTAAACTACAATGAACAAAGGAAAATGCTAACATTTAACATTTCTTCATTATGAAGGTTTCTTGAAACAAAAAATTTATTCAAAAAGTTTCAAAACTAAGTACGATGGGAACATCAAATTTTACACCTTTAGCTGGTGATCACCAACCTACAATACATTTATCTACTGAATGACTCAGTCGAAATGAATTTTTTATATAAAATAAAGGTATATGAATGAATATGTATAAATAGGTTAGTAAGCAGAACCCAACTCCCATATATAACATATTTATACCTCTAATATGGATATGTGTATTCTGTATACAACAAGGTTACAACATAAGACACATTTACAATAACATTACAATAAACAAAACAAAGAAACTAAGATATAACAAGATAATAAGATATTCCATGTACCCGATAAAAAAACCCCTATGATTAAGCAGGCTAAATGAGCTTGGTATCTATCTATTCCAATTTATCAGGACCACTTTCTGGTTTATATTGGAGAAATAACAAATAGACTTCAACACCAAGTTATTACATACAGATAAATATAGCGGCACATTTATACAGAGATGGAACATTACACATATATTCTGAACATAGCACATTTAATCTTAACCTTACCAATGTACGATATTCACGATCTTTCTAAATGGTTACAAAACAAAACAATGAATTACTGCAATTTACAGCAAGTTAGATGAATTAATATTTCGAATGATTTACTGTGTTAAATGATACAACTATTAAAGAGATTTGTCTGGAATGAATGAGTAATTTAAATGATGCCACATATCATCTTTATGCACATATCAAACCTTATAACACATCTATCTTTATTGCTAAAGTTTTTCACTGAAGATCTTTTTTATCCACTTTAACTATGTATGAATCTAAAAAACAAATGGCTTACCAATTCAGCAGATCCCAAAATACTGTTAATTTTACTCTAAAATATTAGCCATTACAGAAAAAGACATGATAATGAAAAAGTGTTTAGTTACATTAAAATGTTAAATATATTTCTATATTCTAGTTCTTTTTAATCTACACGATGAAGCCTAATTCTACCAGGCAAATTATCAGAAGTATACCCCGATGTCAATAATTGACAAATTGGGCTAACAAGCACAAATACTACAGAAACAGGGGTTTAATAATACAATACTTCACAAATTATTTCAATTTTATTGTCAACTGCACATGAGCAAAGTGAATCTATTCCATGATATCAGCAGGTACTGAACTGTACTAAAAACAGCATAAAAATCATAAAAGCAAAAAAAAAATTTTAGGTTAAGCTCAAAGAAACAAAACTGGTTATTTACCACATTTTTCAAATAAAGATATGTTACTTGAAAGTGTCAGATGATTTTTAATGATATATTATTATCTATAATAATGATATTAGAATTTTAATCTCACATAAACAAAAAATACAAAGTTTCAACAACATACCTGTATGTCCTGTAACAAAATAAAAAAACTATATACCAAATTTAAAGCCACACAAATCACCATCATTATCATATCTACTAACTACTTATATTTCAATATTTCACACAAACACACCACAAAATCACACATATAATTCATCTACAATATGCACAAAGCAAAGTATAACCACACGGAACAGAGTGTAAACATGTTTATATTGCTTGACACACAAAAAACTAAATGAAAATAATATTTATCAAACCTTGGCTTTAGATTCAATATCGAATGGTTCTACAAGAGAACTCCATGTACACCAAGCACCATATTGTTTCCTAATATAAACATGGTCATACACTGTACCCTTCTTTGGTATTAACAGATTCCTGGCTAACTTCAAATCTTTTGGCCTGAAAAAAAAAAACAATTCACATATTTTACATTGTAAACGAGTTATACTAAAAGTATACCAGTCTACATGCAACTACCAACATGTGTACATTAAGAGACTTGTGACCATGTATGGATGGAGTGGAACAATATTTTGGCAAAATTTAGTCCTTAGTAGATGTGATCCCTTAAGAATAACTTTGTAAACAATTAGCATCCTTATTATAACACACTGTGTATTTCCCTTTATCTCACATTATTTCCTTTCCTTTGCTTATCAAATTTGTCATGTATGTATTATCAATGGGCAAAGAAAAAATTGAATTTTTTGTTTTTATCTTTTGTAGCTATTCCTGTATAGCCACATGTACCAGATTATTCTCATTATTATAATCATAGAAAAAAAGACAACAATTACTTAGGGTATTTGGCTGTTGTTCCTTCCATTTCACATAAAGTTTTGAAAAACTCATCAAATTTAAGTCTTGATGTTGTGTCTAGTGTAGCACCAACTGACCAGACGGTAGAGAAAAAGAAATAAGCAATGATCATGTTAGATCTTTCCTCATTGAGTTTTTGATCCATGACAGATGCTGGCTGACTATAAACACCTTCTGTATTATCTTCCATATCATCAACATCATCTTCTATGAAATCTATTTCATCATCATCCTCATCTTCATGACCTATTTTCCTGGAAAAATGAAATACAAACTATACTAATATCAAGAGTTTTATAATTGCTCTTGGTCCTTTTGCAACATAACATAACTTAGATCTAAATTTATGAATTGTACATCTCAAAATATAACAAATCAAATGCAGTTTAGTAGACCCATGTAATATCTTTTTATTTTCAATGACTTAAACAAAATCAACTACACAAATTTTAAGATTAAAAAGTGATATCCTTGTGGCCAGCTAGTAACCTCATCAGATATTCATGTGGCTGTTATCCACAATCTCACTACAAAGAAAAAACATATCTAAATCATTATCCACGGAACCATTGACTTACTTGACATCTTCCATCAGACAACCATACAACTTTAACATACTCATTGTGAAATGCATTAAATGACATGGCAGCAAATGGCGACAGTATTTAGTAACAAAATTTAAACATGGAGGCACAATCCAGGAAAAGAGTAACTGAAAGGGAACCAACAGTTTATGTAAACAATGGAGAATAGAAATTAACCTGCAAAAAATTGAATCCAAATTATCTATCAGGAAGAAAATGTACCAAATGTACCTTTATGCTACATAATTTTGTTTGTTTTTGTTCCCAATTTGGGCTCACATTACAGAATATAATAAAATACAATACCTAATTGCCTTCTAATAATTCATTACTTTCAATAAAACAAACCTTAATAGTCTGAGTTTGTTCCTTAGTAACAATATCAGGAAGATTTGTTTCTAACCATGATGTCACTAGAGGTTCCCAACCTAACTGATGTGGATCTAAATATATCATACCACATCTACAAATAATATAATTATTTAATTCAAATCATCAAATTCAGAAATATATAAACCAAGATCCGTAAAGCAAAGCAACACTGAAATCCAAAATGACATATTGACAAAACATGATAAAAAAGTTGGGTTTGGAACACCATTCAGTGTTGGATTGATTGAGCAGTGTAAGTCAGTGTAAGTCAGGAGAACAGAACTGTTTCATTTGCAGAAAAACTTATTTTCATGGTATAGAACAATATAGAATGTTAATATCATCAAATTGAAAAAGCATTGATATGAATCTCATCAACAAACCTGCTAACAGTGGCAGGTGAAGCTTGTTCTAAATCTTGAGGTTCAAATATCATGTTCTGTTTATTACTCATCTGTATTATTTCACCACTCATTAAACATAACTAGGGAAAAACATAGTATCATTAAAAATATTGGATATTTGTTCCACAAATAAATTCTTGACATATTAATCTGACAATTTCTTATATATTTATGTAAGGGTTTAAACAATGTTCCTTAAAGTTTTATAATTCAATCATGTCAACCTTTTTGTTATCATCCAACACAGTGTTCATGTTTTCAATCCACACAGCATCCACAGGACCATCAAATATAATCCATTTTCTATCATCACTAGTACTAGAAGCATGTTCTCTAAATGTATTGGCTAAAATGCCATCAGTCCATTCATGTGATACAGGATCAAAACAACCATACAGTTGACTCATTGTTACTGCTTTAGGATTAATAATACATGTTTGCACCTGTTAAAAGAAAATTTATATATTCAAACTTACTTGGTAGTAATACAAATTGTAAAGTATGAATTTCTATGTGAAAAATTTGTTTATTGCTGTTTTCTCAAACAATCAAATAAATACTTTCAGCACAATTTCATCATTACTTACCCTAAATTCTTCCATTAACTGTTTTTGATGAAGATCTCCCAAAGCAGCAGCAAGACATTTGAAAGCCGAAGTTTTTCCTCCAATAGGATCACCTACTATCATCAAACCATGACGTACCATTATCATATCATATATCTAAATATTTTTTAAATCAGCATTGGGATTATAAATGAAAGAATAGTTGAAGGCTGCACACTTTGCAATCACGCAAATTTTAGTGTGTGAATGACATATTTACCAAAAATAATTTGGTATCATAAATAATGATGTAAAACAAATATGACAACAAAACATTAAAAGTCCAAGCAAACCTGTATTATTTTATCAATAAACCAAGGTACAACTTGAAGATTTCTCTGTTTAATTTGGTAGACTAGGGCTTGTTGTAGATGTAAATAATCAGGTTTAGGTAAATTAACACCAGGAAACAAATCTGATACTATACCCTCAAAAAGTGGTATATCATGGGACAAGAACTGAAAATAGAATATATAATAACTACTGTTGTGTATAATTGTTATCTATTACACACCAATGGACTCTCCAAGGCCATTCTTTAGCTTTAAGCTAGAACAGTTATAAAATAATGTAGTTTAGGTGAAAGTGTGTAAAGGTCATAATTGTTATTTTCCAGACATAAAAACATTACCAGTTACATCAGTTCACACAGTTAAATCAACAAATTTGACTTACTTAAAGAACATTATTATACTTGATAAAACCCTTACTTTAGGTAAATTAACATCGTTAATAGATCTCAGCACCAAGACATCTTCTCTCTGCTCAGGATATTTCAATTTTAATGTTCCTGCTGCTGTTAATACAGACTTGACAGCTCTCATACCATAATCATAATGATGTTGAGATGATAACTAATATATCAAAATATTACAAAAACACAGAAATGACCTGGTTACATTTCAAGAATACAAAGAGACTTAGTTATATTGAAGGTGAAAAAAGATAAGTGCTTTATATTTCAATATAAACATGGGGGGGGGCATGATATGCAATTTATGTTCGAGAGACAGGAAGACCATTCGTTCGTTTTGGGACCCATCTCCAATCACAGACGCTGTTACGAAGGTCACAAATAGCGAATTTATCGTTCGCATATTTTCGTCGATCATATCATGTGATCAGTACATATGGCAGACTGCCACTGAGAGGACTTGCCTTGACATTAAATTTGATTGGTTGAAAGGTATCGGTCGCCCTATAGATCACTTAGGTGAAAATTGAAGCTTTTAATTCAAAATTAATTTTCTCCTAGGTCGTGGGTACCCACTGGATGACTGGAAAATTTAGTAACATACAAGAAGGTGCCTTTCTTTCTATAATATTTCTGAGAGCTATAAAGATAGGATGTCACCAGCTCAACTGAAACGTTCTCATACCGTTATACTCTGCAATCCAATTCGGTCTGACCCCTTTTGAATAAGTCCTGCATATACCACTGGTCCCCCACGCATTGAAAAGTGATCTGCGCCCCTGAGATTGACACAAGTACAGGTCAGTTTAAACAAAAGAATAAGTATCTTCACATAACCTTTGTTTTGGTTTTGTAGTCCACAAATCAAAATAAAGAATTATTACCTGTTCTGAGCAAAGTCTGTAAGTGGCAACAATTTTAATAGCAAGACTTTTAGCATCAACAAATCCCATAGAATATAAAGATATTTCACCAATCATACCATAGTCAGGTACCATCATGGCTACTGTTCGAAATAGTACCTTACATAGAAGAGAATATTTCACTATGTAATTGGTGTTCATTCTTACAATTTCCAATTTTCTAATCTTAATCCAGTTAAGCTTTAAATATGCTTCTGGTTTGCTTCATGAAACCTTTTTCAAAAATCTAAAGCTGTCCTTCCGATGACAAAACCAAATAATATATGTAATAATGAATAACTACCTTTAAATTATCCGGTAATTCAGCACGTCCTGCATAACCTGGGTTCATAGTAATAAATATAGTACATGTAGGATCTAATAATATCTCTGTTCCTTCAAATACAAATGTCTTACATTGTTCAGCTATACCTCTCTGTATCGTTTGTACTTGTTGGGCAATAACTGACAATACCTACAATAATAAATCAACAAATTCATTGAAGAACTGATACAAATACGTAGGACGTAAAACTCCATTCATTTCATTTCCATTTCAATTGATACAAATACATATTTATCAACCTTTTAATCATCCTTAAAAGTAGAATAAAAATGAGTCTTTGTAATAACTAATGAAACCCATCTGTGAAAATATCACGTACAAGAGGGAAAATTCCTTGCAAATGAAAATTTGCAGGGTATACTTATGAAACAATATATTATCAACTAGATTTGACTTAAAATCCATATTATGGAAATTTTAAAAGTATGAAAATTTAAAAATATTAAACATATGTACCTCAAGTTCAATTCTATTGAACTCGTCAAAACAAGCCCAAGCTCCTGACTGGGCTAAACCTTTGAAGAATTTACCCATAGCTTTGTAATCTAATCCATCTGAACAATTAAAGACAACACACTGTTTGGCTACAGCTTTAGCTAGATCTTTTGATGTTTCTGTTTTACCAGTACCTGCTGGCCCTTCTGGAGCTCCTCCCAAGTTTAATAACAGAGCTCCCATTAATGTTCTGAAAAAAGAACGGTGGAAATTATTTTTAATACATATATTCAATTTCAACTCTAAAGCAACCTATTTTGCTTATCGATCACATACTTATTATTAGTCCTTGCATCCAAATTGTATATTACAATAAATTATGAGTACCATACTTTTCTCAAACTTCATGTTTGTAAAACACAAATTACCTATAACATCTGTCAGTCAGAGGAGTAATGACCAATCGCCCAGAATTTCCTAAATATTCATAGGCATAGGCAACAGTAGTTGTTATCATACGGACATTTACAACATCATCTTGAAAATAATAGCGTAGCTGACTTATCCATGAGAAATCTGTATCTTTCCGTGTGTTGATATCATGAAGATTTTTTACAACATCTCGAGCTGAAATATATCATTTACATGTTATGTAAATTACCAAAATTGATAATATGAATATATCTAAAAGATATTCATAATATATCAACTTAAACTCCTTGAAGTCATGTGCCAGTGTCAAAAGTTTTGTGTAAAGTTACAGTACACTATCATAAAAATTAAAAAAAAAAGTCTCACCATGAACGTCAATGACAATTAAAGCCTCTAGTGTTATTCTTGCCATCTTGGATAATTTACCACGAACCATTTCAACCACTTCCTCTACTTGTTTCTTACTTTTATTGAAATAACTATTTAATTCTCCATTATTGATAGCCTAAATAATCAGAATACAATCATAATTGTGAAAGTACTGTGACATCATTTAAACAAAAACAACTTTCTCAGTATTCAAGTTATATATAGAGATTGTATTTAAGACATACAAAACATGAACAAAACTGACGAGTCTCCAGATTTCCAAATTATTTCAATGAATTAATCTTTAACAGATTTAAATAATGAATCCTGAATATGCTATTCATATAAATTCCAGAAATTTAAGGTAGACCTTATCATTTCATAAATTGAATCATATTGTTTTTATACAGACCTGTGTTACTTCTGTTGTCCAATGTGTTTGACTTGCAGCTAGTACTATCTGTCCAGGCCATTGTAAAATCCAGTCTTTACGTAGTGTAGTAGGATAGGCCAATACAGCTTTAGTCATGACAGTTCTTAAGCTAAACTTCATTGCTTCTTCCACCTGATTAAATAGATGACATCTAAATAGGGATACTACCAGTAGATAACAGAAAATGACAATGATAGAAAGTTTCAACTAATTCCTAATTCTCTCATTTCAACTTATCATCCATTGTCAAGAAAGCTGATTTTGAAATTTTCAATATTTGGACAAAAATAAAAGGAACCACCTAATTTCATAAAAAGATAAATAGCTCACCTGAAGAAGCCATTTTTCAACTAAACCCCTTGATTCAGCTGGAGTTATAGTCTTCGGAAAATCAACTCTCTCTTTCTCTTTAGATTCCATGGCTGTTATAACCTTTTCTTCATTAAAAGTTAATTGAGCAATACCTTCAAAACATTTCTTGAGATGAGGTTGAACTCGTAGAGGATCTTTAGTTTCAGATAATATTTCCAATAGTTCATCATTTGATAGGAAGAAAAATCTGGAAGAATGAAGAATGAATACAGAATTCATTTATATACTTTTTTATATGCCCACATGACTTTCTATACCAGTTTATTTTTTTTTATTTTTTTGAATGTTTACCCATGTGTTTTGTGTTATAGAGTATCCACATTATTTGGATCAACTAAAAATGGACCAGTAAAAAACTTTGTAAAATAGTTTGTGAGTCTCCTATTTTTCTTGAACACATGACATGGGATGCGTACATTGTCGTCACCCCTGGGGGTCCGTCCATTGGTCCATCCGTTCACAATTGCTCGTACACACTCTGGAAGGCACAATTCTTGACTGATTTTGATGAAACTTGGTGTGATTAAAAATAAAAAAATATTTAGTATGAGTTATTTCCCTTGTTCTTGAGATTGTATACAATTTTAGCTTGTAAACACTCTAGATGGCACAATTCTTGACAGATTTTGACAATACTTGGTAAAATTATTCAGTATCACCTCAAAAATTTCAAAAGGAGTGTATGACTAAGTGTGAATGTACTGCCAAATATTTTTATTCACAATCAAAGCTGCCAGTGGGCATATATTACCTTGCCTAGCAAGCTATCTTTATAGAAGAATTGCAGTGTCTAATATTGCTCAGATAAAATTAGGTTTTACCTGGGGAAAAATAATCGTTTCTTTTCAAGATAATCATTTAATCCTTTCTGAATATCATCTAACATGGACTGAAAATAAAGCAAATCAAAATCATAATGTATATATTTATCACAATTATAACCGGATAAGCATGATCAAGATAGCACAAAAAGCATACAAAAATGATGCCCGTTTTCAGACATTGGCTATAAGCTTTTCTCAATATGAGAAATAATAAATATCAAATCTCTATTTCACACTAAGATGAATATTGAATCATGGACAATTAATAGAAAAAAAATTCAAATTTGCATTTTGTGCTCATCATGTACAGAAACAGAGATTATTTGTGTAACACAGTGTTCTGTAAAATTGTTTCACCTCTGAATGCTGTAGTTTTTCTAACATCTCATCTTGTCCAACAACCACCAAGGCACTTGTATCTTCCACAGCTTTTGTCATGATAGTTTTCCTGAAAAAAAATAGTGGCAGGTCACTAAAATAAAAACTAATAAAAGAGCATTTGCGTCTGTACAACTTTTATCAATTGTTTGTGACTATAGATAGCTTCTTATAGTTTTTTAGTTTAAAAATAAAGATAAAAGATAAAGATCACAATGCATGTGAATTTCACTAAATGATGTGGTTGAGTTTTACTTAAAAACTTACAAATAAGCTTACCAATGTTCATCAACTTCTTCAAACATTTTCCCTTCTACTGGAATCTGGTTTCTGATATCTTGAGAACCAAAGATAGGTTCTAGATATAACCAGGCACTCTGAACTTTTAACCACGATTCTAAAATATCTCTCATTCTATGCTGCAAGTCAAAATATAAAAGACATAGTTCACATAGGAAAAATAAATGTACGAATATATGGTTTACTTAAATAATATGCAGCTGTAAGTTTGTAGACATTTACAAGATATGTCTATTTCAATGCCTTCAGTCTTGATGAAGGATCTTTTTCTAAATCATTGATGGAAATTACAAATTTTATTGTTTCGGTTGTTTTAAACATTGGCATTCATTTACAAAACCCTTAAATTAAATAAGTTGGATGAATGTGAACAAACAAAAATAATGATCTTACCAACTGAACATCCCACTCACTAGCCTCTTTTTCAAATGGTCCAATGAATGGTGAACCTTTCATGGTTGTTGTTTTAACAATGTGATCATCTAATAATACTTGTATATCATCAAAGGCTGATAATATATTAATACCAGTATCTTTATAGGCCACAAAATTAAAATTCATATTCTCCCAATCTTCTTTCATTTTCTTCAGTGCCTATAATACATACATTCAAACTTATCCAAAAGCACATCTGATGCCTGGTTGATTGGACTATTCAACATCTCTTTTGGATTCAATGCCTATGAATCATTATCATGCTAAGTCAATGAAACATATGACATCCTTTTCATAACTTGACACATTTTTATTCAAGTTCCAGCGGCCTTCATGACCCGAAGGTACTATGCCTGAAGTCTTAACCTCAGGGTTAATCTTGTCATAACTTGCTGTGTCCACAGCTCTTTGCTTTACAAAATAACAAAAACAATTGTTGTTTACCTTCTCAAGCGAAAATTCCTTACTAGCTTGGGAACTAATACCCATTAAAACATCCAAGTTTTTCTCTAAACCAATACCTAATACATCATTTAATGGTGTATCTTCTTTAGGTGTCACATCAAACCCAACCTGCAAAAAGAGCTGAGCTGACAAACCAATGCAGGGGAACATTAGATATACCAGAATAATGATCCTAGTTTGATAAACTATTGACATTCATTCGCTTTCTGATGCTTATCCTCAATCCTTATTTTGTATACCTGGACATGCCAACTTGCGCATGCGCATTATTATGTTTTTATGATATGGCGCTCGTTGATACTATTATCTTCATATATTATTGTAAAATGAATAATGCTTTGGTTGACCTAATGAAAATAAAAAGTAGACTAACCTTCATACTCATTTTATTCCAATGTCTTTCCTTTAAACCAGGATTACAAAGAGCATTGATTAGTGGCATATTTATCTTGAACTTCTCCAGTTTAGCCTTGATAGTCACTGCTGCTTTTAATGGACCTTTCAGATCAGGATGACCAAATATTTTTGTTAATTTATATGCTGTCCTCCATTGATTTTGTACCTGTAAGAAAATTTATCTTAATTGTTTTTTTTTTAAAGATTACTAGAAATTTTGATATCAGCATTTAAAAGCACAGGTATAATGAAATCATTTTTTGTACACAGGTATAAATGTTTCTGCTTTGTTCTCAAAATCTTAAAGGGACGTTTAGCTCTTATTCTACGCTTTGCATTCATTATGGTTCATTCTTGTATCTTACTACCTATCCTAATTGTATTGTTTTGTTTATCTGTACTATTAGTTTTTACACGTATTATTATCAAAGCCATTGATTTTAAATCAAACATTCACAGTAAAGTAACAGTTGAATAATTTGGAGGTTTGTCTACAAATGCCATGAAAAATTTACAGAAGCTTTGATATCATAAAGTGCATTATCTTCAAAATACTAGTAATACCTCTTCCTCTACTTCTTCAGCAATAACTTCTAAGAGTGGACCATTCATCCATTTTTCATATTGATCATGGAATGTTACAGCTGTAGACCAGAGTTTATCAAAAGGTTCTTTCATACCAATTAAATCTATGATATCATTATACACAGTTTGCGTTTCCATTCCTAACAATAACTCTTCAGTATTAATCTTGACTTTCTAAAAAATATAATATAATTCAATTGAGACCCCTTATCTAAAATCATTTAAAGAACAGGTAAAGAAAATTGGCTATGACTTTACCATGGTCTTATATTTGTAGTTCAAAATTTAAATCAAACATTCACAGTAACAATTGAATAATTTGGAGGTTTGTCTACAAATGCCATGAAAAATTTACAGAAGCTTTGATATCATAAATGTCCTCACCTCTTCCTTAAAGCCTTCCAGTTTAACACCAAGTTCTTGTAACTGTTGATGATATGTTTCAGCTTCTGGAATTTTATCTTTTTGTTTAAATTCTTTAACACTTTCAGTCACACGTTTGATTTCTTCTAAGAATTTCTCTTTTCTGGTAGCCAAAGCTTTAACAGCCATTTCATGTTGTTTTTGTAGTTTAGTTTCTCTACAAAATGATATTTCATTCATAAATGATGAAAGGAGTTCTCATTAATCATTTGTTTGAACAAATCTATAGATATGAAAAGGATTGAGGCCTGATTATTACATGAATTAGATCAACTCAAAACAAAAATAATAAAAAAAAAACATTAAATGTCTTACGTATTTAATATAATAGGTATAATTCTATCTGGCCATTTAAATGTTGTATTATTAACAGATAAATCTTCTGATGATAAATAGCCATAATCCATTAAAAACAACATATTACCACCAGCTATTTCTAATTTATCCTATTGAAAGAAAGGCAGAATTTGATGAACAATCTGAAACTAATATATGTCTAAACTGCATTTTCACAATGTCAAACTATTACCAACAACTATTTAGACACTTTTCTTGTACCATAAAAATTGTAAATGCAGTGATTTGATTAGATTGTATGTAAGCAAATCCAGCCAATCAAAGCCTTTGACAGAAAGATTGTAAACAATGTGGCTGCTTGTGTTACAACTTGTTCTCATCTGCCATTGTAGACGGAATTATTTTCTCACCTTCAATTCATACAATTCTCCTATCTTTAAATTTTCAACATAATTTTGTAATTCTACCAATTCTTCTGTAGTCTCAGCGTGTTTGGCATTATTCTTTACAATTTGTTTATACTGGTCACATATGGCTCTGTTAAACTCAACGCTTGTTGTCATTATATTAGAAACCATTTTATCTATTAAGGACCTGGCCCTTTCTATTAACCACTGAAATAGCACAGACATTATTCTTAAGATTTTCTTTGTCTGAATACTCTTTTAATTTCTTATTTTTTATTTTCCCGTTTTAGCACTTTCATAAGTACCCACAAATCATTAAAAGCAAACTCACATAAGTTCATAAAATCCACATTTAAAATAAATGAAATTGATTGATGATTTATGGAGGAAGTAGCATATCATATGAATAAACAGGTCCTTATAATAAAGGTTTTTAGTTTACCTCATTTATATTTGTGCAATCAAGGTGAAAAAGGTGCATAGGAACTAAAACTGGTAATGATCCCACTTCTGATATCATACGTCTTAATTTCTCTATTTCCTGTACATACATTCTTAATGGTCTCTCTTTACTGATAAACTTGTGTACAGTTTGATCAGAATCAGTAGATAATAAGTATTTATATGGTTCATATACTGTTTCATATCTGAAGAAAATATAAAAAAATATGTCCAGCATGTACTTCATATACGTCAAACAGTCAATAAAATCGCTTATCTTGCTTCCTACAGGATGCCAAAAGGAAAGCAGTCATTGTTATTGCAACTTAATTTAGACAGTTATTTTGGATTTATGCTTACTTTATTGGTCCATGACTGTTTTCCATAACGACTTTGTGTATTCTGTTTTTGGCTTCTATTACTAATTCTTCATTACTTTGTACAGTGCTAATATATTTTACATCTAGACCTTCGACAGTTTGAAATAAAATATTTTCTAATCTTGGTAATTCTACGACACTCAATACCATTGTGTCAATTAATAAATTAAAGAAATCACATATATCTGTAAATGATGGCTTAAATAACACACCAGTATTTTCTTTATTTTCAAGCTATAAAAAACCAAAATTAAGTCTGAAACTATTCACATCTACAAAATATAAAGCCCTAATCTATATAACATAGAACTGAAGACCTCTTGGTAATTGATTTATTTATGTAAATAACTTTTTTGTGACCCACAGGCTACAAATCATTGTAGGATTAAATGAATAAATGATTAAATGAAATTGAAGAAATTGCATACTTTCATAAAATACTGTCTGAGTAGAACCTAACTTGCATTTAAGCTGAATAGTAAATCACCTAATGCAACCAAGATATGAAAATAAGCATACCATAAATATCGTAACTGGATGTATGAGAGTAGGTAAAGCTAATCCTGAGAATATATCATAGCTTTCTTCATATCTATTTCCCTCGTAATATTTCTCTATTATATCAACTAAGTCATAAATAGAATTCTTGACACACTGCCTTAATAACACACTCATCAATGAGGCTACACTTCCGAAGAAATGATCCATTTTATCCATTCTCAATTCCTGTAATATTTGTACAAAATAGATGATCACCACTGAAAAGAATCTCAAAATGTCATTTTCATTACTAAAATTTGTTTTGGTAGTATTAATGTCTTTTTCAACTCAACTGAAAAAATATATTACGTCTATGTAATTTTTTTTCACTGCTTTAAAGTATTTCATTTGACACTGAGTATTTATCACTGTTTTTAAGTGAATGCATAAGAAAATTGGGTATAAAGCCACAAAAGATATACCTGATTATCTTTTGGCATCATTGATTCAATATCATCTCTATAATTATCAACAATATCACAACAATCTTCAATCCACGTCTTACGTAAATATCGAGCTCCATCTTTACTTGATTTTTCTACATGTTGTACAAATTCTTCCATTGTTATTGGCATAATTTTTCTTAGCTCTGAGATATTAATCAATCGAAAATCACCATATCTGTAATAAATATACAAAATTGAAACAGAGCTGTGTTGTGTTGTGAAGAATACCAATGATCTGTACTCACATAATATTTATCAGAATTGTTTTTTCAAATTTTATGGAATCTAGCAAAATGTTACATGAAATTCTAAGACTTACTTCGAATGGAAAAGAAATAAAATTTGTCTCATGATAGGATGTGTTAAATATAAATCTGTGCTCATAAACTCTTTCATGTCTTGAACTGTATCATGCCAGGGATATTCAAATCTTCCAGCACTATTTGATGGCTGCAACAAAAATTAAGTGGAATTATACAAGTTAAGGTGTTATAAAGTAATGAATAGTTATAAAGCTATAATAGGATTTTTCACAAGATAATTCATTCATAAGTTATGTACCATTTTTCTAAATTAGTTAAAATCTGACTAGAGCATTATACATACCTTTTCTGGAAGAGGAACTCCTAACCTTTCTTGTTCAACAGGGTCTAATAAGATATAGTTTAGTATGGCTTGTCTTAAAGCAAATCTGTAATCATCTTCCATTTCCTATAAATACATAAAAAATATATATGGTGGCTCTTAGGTATTGAAATATAAAAAGCTTCACTAAGTTAAGATATTAAATCTGATTTACCTGTAAAAATATCTTGGAAGCTTTAGGATGCTCGATACGTAATGATTTTGGTACAAACTTGTATAAACCTTCAATTGTTTCTGATGCTACAGGTGTAATCATGCTGGGATCTATAGCTTTATCAACCAGCTTATAATATCTACAATATATAATGAAAACCATTTCAAGCAGCTAAGGAAGCAGATAATTTCTTGCTGTACATATTTCATATATCAATTCTAAATCAAATGTGATTTCTTTGGTTGCTCTAATCAAAATGATGTCAAATCAAAATTATAGAGAATTATTTGGTCTGTGAGAGTAATATATTTTCGAAATTATGTTTGAAATTGTAGCAAGAAGAAATTACAAACCTTTGAATGTCATGTTCTAAGGGAGTGCTTGGACGAGACAAACCGTGCGTTGAGTAGAAAAATGGTGGAAATAAAACATCTAAAACAGCTTGTGTCTTCACTTCATGTTCTCTTGTAACATAAACATCATCTTAAAAATATTTTTCTAAAGATTTTTTCGGCTATAAATGAATGTAATGATAAACTTATTACTTACTCAAGAGTATTGATCCACGACAATTTGATTCCAAAACATGATGTATGACACAGCACCGAAATTCAACAAAATTCAATGCTTTTCTCTTCGACAAAATCTTATATTGATGATACTTCAATCTATACATATCTTATTGATATTTGTAAACTAGATTTACCAAGAAATGATTCTTCTGGTACAAGAGACATACTATCTGGCAAAAATCCTGATGGTGGTCTACCACTGTCATAACTTTCAGCAACACTAGACTGACACTGTCTGGATTCTGATGACACATCAGCAGCTGTTTCTTCTGGTTGATCATCCAGGGATTGATCCCCAATTTGCTTTTCCACATTGGAAGATGGTTGCTGAGTTGAATTTAAAGTATTATTGTCAAGTTGAGGTACATTTAGAGAATCTGTATCTGAAGCTAATGAAGGTGCTGGTGTTGATGGTAACTGTTCAACATTATCCGTAGGTTCATGCTTTTCCTCTATTGGTTCACTTCGATCAATAGTTCCTTAAATATAAAATAGCGATGCCATCGTAATACGCCCACATTTGTTATGGCAGCTAATTTGTCCGGGAGGTTGACAAGAGTAATCAGTAAATAATGCTTCTGAGAGTGAAATTTACATATTTCATGGGTTTTCTTTACAGTTTACATTTCAAGAACAAGGGCAATAACCCATAGTAAATATTTTTCGATTTGTCTGATTTTCAATAGGGTTCATCCTTGGGTGATAACCAACACTCAAGCCAAATTTCGTTAAAATCCGTCAAGAATTGTCCCTTCTAGAGTGTCCACAAACAATTCAAGAACAAGGGCAATAACTCATAGCAAATATTTTTCGATTCGTCTGATCTTCAATAGGGTTCATCATTGGGTGATTACAAACACTCACACCAAGTTTTGTCAAAATCCATCAAGAAACCAGCTCTCTATCGTGTCCACACTCTATCGTGTCCACAAGCGATTCAAGAACAAGGGCAATAACTCATAGTAAATATTTTTCAATTCGTCTAATTTTCAATAGGGTTCATCCTTATCCTTGGGTGATTACAAACACTCACACCAAGTTTCGTCAAAATCCATCAAGAAACCAGCTCTCTATCATGTCCACAAACAATTCAAGAACAAGGGCAATAACTGATAGACAGACAGACAGACAGACAGACAGAAAGGGGCGAAGACTATATACGCCCACATTAATGTGTGGGCATATAAAAATCATATCTAGGTCATGACAAACTAATACCCTAATGATTTATGAACCTTGTTATATCTCCAGATTCAAAAATTTGACAATGATTAATCGGTACTTTCAGACTAACATAATTGATAACTACCAATATAATCAGGTTCACTAGGCTGTTGTACTAATGGTGGAAGAACTAAAGTGGTTTTATTTTCTGTCTTTGCTGTTGATTCAATATCTACAACACTTGAAAAGGCTATACTATTTACATCAACTTTATCTCTTGTATTGCTATTAAAAAGAAAAAACAAATTTAAATAAAAAAAAGCTTTCTAAAACATATTCTAACATTATGTTCAACAGTTACATGCCTAGTTAAATTTACATAATAGTGAAATAGTTTTCTTCAATTTCAACTATTTATTCTATAACCTTGACCTTCCAGATCTATCAACATTTATTCCAAGTTCGGTCAGGTAAAGATTGCTTTTGCTCTCAGCTTATGAAATGGCTGATTTGAAAATGATATGAGAACAATCTAGTAGATGGAATTGGTTTGAATGTATCAGTAACCGTACACATACTACAAATTAAAACTCCATTTAATATGGATTTGATGCTTTGTATAACATCACTATACCTAGATCTTTGTGATTGAGGTAGCCTTGGTTTATCAGTGATATAATTAGATGTTTTTTGTCTTGGTGATAAAAAATATATTTCTTCCACAGTGTAAGCTGTAAAAGTAAAATAAATTTGCATGAGAATAAAATTTTCATTACAAAAATCATAAAAAAAACCTCGTGTGCCAAAATCAGTTTAAAATAAGATTTTCTTAGAATTTTGACATTAATATCTAAAGATAGCTTGCCAGGCAAGGTAATATACGCCCACTGGCAGCTTTGATTTTAAATAAAAATATTTGGCAGTACAGTAATAATTACCAGTATGAAATATTCAACCTTCAGACATACATCATAATATTACCAAGTTTCATTAAAATCTATCAAGAATTGGGCCTTCTTCAGTGTTTACAGGCTAAAACGTAAATGCATTTTTAAGAACAGGGGCAATAATATTTTTCGATTTTCGTTAGGGTTCATCTTTGGGTAATTACATACACTCACACCAAGTTTCGTCAAAATCCATCCAGAATTGTGCCTTCTAGAGTGTTTACATGCAACAAATTGAACGCATTTTCAAGAAAAAGGACAATAACTCATACCAATTATTTATTGATTTTTCTGATTTTCAAAAGGGTTCATCCTTAGGTGACAACAAACACTCACTCAATAATTGAACCTTCTAGAGTGTTAACAAGCTAAAAATTAAATGCCTTTTCAAGAACAAGGGCAATAACTAATATTAATTATTTTCCGATTATTCTGATTTTCAATAGGCTTCATCCTTGGGTGATTACTAACACTTATACAAAGTTTCATCTAAATCTGTCAAGAATTGCGTCTTCTAGAACGCATTTTCAAGAACAAGGACAATAACTCATACTAAATATTTTTCAATTTTTCTAATTTTCTATAGGGTTTATACTTGGGTGATTACAAACACTCACATCAAGTTTCATCAAAATCTGTCCAAAATTGTGCCTTCTAGAGTGTTTACAAGCTAAAATTGAACGCATTTTCAAGAACAAGGGCAATAACTCATACTAATTATTTTTTGATCTTTTGATTTTAAATTGGGTTCATCCTTGGGTGATAACAAACACTCACACCAAGTTTCATCAAAATCCGTCAAGAATTGCGCCTACTAGAGTGTTTACGAGATGTTTTAAGAACAAGGGCAATAACTTAATGCTTAATATTTTTCGATTTTTCTGATTTTCAGTTGGGTTCATTACAAACAACCATTCCAATTTTCGTCGAAATCAATCAAGAATAGTGCCTTGTAGAGTGTTTACGTGCAATTGTGGACGGACGTGCAATTGTGGACGGACGGACAAACGAACGGCAAAGGACGATAATATACATTATTACTACTAATTACTACTATGTTAAATTACTACCAATATATATATATTATGTGGCGATTGGAGACTACTTATAAAGATAGCTTGCCAGGCAAGGTAATATACGCCCACTGGCAGCTTTGATTTTAAATAGAAATATTTGGCAGTACCGTAACAATTACCAGTATGAAATATTCAACCTTCAGACATACACTTCTTTTGAACTTTTTGAGACGATACTGAATAAGATTATCAAAATCTGTCAAGAATTGTGCCTTCAAGACTGTTTACAAGCTAAAATTGAACGCGTTTTCAGTAGCAAGGGCAATAACTCATACTAATAAATTTTCGATTTTTCTGATTTTCAAAGGGGTTTATCCTTGGGTGATAATAAACACTCATGCCAAGTTTCATCAAATTAAGTCAAGAATTGTCACCTCTAGAGTGTTTAAAAGCTAAAAATTGAACGCGTTTTCAAGAACAAGGGCAATAACTCATAATAAATATTTTTCGATTCTTCTGATTTTCAATAAGGTTCATTCTTGGGTGATTACGAACACTCACACCAAGTTTCGTCAAAATCCGTCAAGAATTGTGCCTTCTAGAGTGTTTACGAGCTACAAATTGAACGCGTTTTCAAGAACAAGGGCAATAACTTATACTAAATATTTTTCAATTCTTCTGATTTTCAATAGGGTTCATCCTTGGATGATTACGAACACTCATACCAAGTTTTGTCAAAATCCTTCAAGAATTGTGTCTTGTAGAGTGTTTACGAGCAATTGTGGACGGACGGACGGACGGACATGTGTGGGGGCAATATACGCCCCCCATATCATGCGGGCGTATAAAAAATACATAAATGATCAGAAAATGAGGAAACTGGTGCTAACTTGGCTAAATCGATACAGAGACCAGACTTGCATGCCAATGGCAGTTCCTTGGACTAAATGCTCGAAGAACTGGTATTTACAAATTCTCAAAAAGGAATAAGTTAGTAAAGCCGTCACAAGTGACTTAGCAACTGAACCTGACAGTCCAAGATATGGAAGAATTGGAAGAATCTGCTTTACAACAAATGAAAAAACAATAATAAAGATAACTAGAGCCGTGCCACTGTACCAAAGCAGTGCGCATCAAACCTGATACATCGGTGAAACTAGCATTTTAAAGTCATATTGGGAAAAAAAAGCATGGTAACATTCGGTAGTAAAAATTCGATAAACCACTCAATGTGGTAGTGAAAAGACGCATTGATTTGATAACATTGGGTAGTAAAACGTGTTAACACTCGGTAGTAAAATGTCGATTTTTATAATCGCTGTAAAACTGATAATAAACACCGCACAATACAAATGAAGATATATTTGAATAGATCTTGCTGAGCACAAAAACTTTTGTTCTGGTCAAAAGGTCAACAAAGGTCAATTAAAAGTAATATGAGCCTTTGAAGTTTCGAAAATTGC